AGTTTAACCCCAAGCTGACAAACTGCCTCGCACCTCGGTGGGATAATTCAATGCGGCGCTGGCAGTCGAGTGCCCCCTGTACAGTATCACTCCGCTAGCGGCGCCCCTTGCTGTTGGGCTCAAATGTCGTCACATTGTCGCCTCAAAAGGACACCCACTCCGTTATCCAGGGAAATGTCCTTGTCGTCTCCTCGTCGTTTGTCGTTTATCAAATGGCCAGCGCTGCGCCGCCGGCCGTCGGCTAAGTGACAAGCAAAACCGCGAATTGACCAGAGAAAGTCCCAGGCTCTCCAGCTCCAGCTCCAGCTCCTACTCCAACTCCGGCTGCAGTTCCTCCTGCACATGTATCTCCATCACCATCTCCATCTCCAGTTGCAGTGCAGGATGCACTCGCAGGATGCAAGGACACAGAGCCGAACGTGTGCCCGCACAATGCACTGCCAGAAATCGCCAGACACTTCCGAATTGGACATGCACTTGGGAATGCTTTTTCGGACTTTCGGGCAAAACCATTGCAACCGTTGCTCAACCATCTATGAATTACTTACTTATCAGCTCAATTCAAAGGATAATAAAAGTAAGAATATTAAAAGAGCATTAATTTAGATCTTAAAATTTAAGTTATTCATGCCAAACCGGTTTTAGGCCAGCAATCGTTACGATTTCCTTTGAGCCGCCATTTTTCTCAGTGCACACGCATTGAAAAATTGAGGAGCAAGGACCAAGGACGAGCACAAGATGCGTGGCCCGTGTGTGTTTTTTCGGGGTCGACGGGCGTGGCGCGGACAGGGGTTAAGGGGTTAAGGGGGCCACGAAGGGGTTAACACACAGGATTGGGCATTGTTTTGGCCGAAAGTTGACCGAAAACTTGGCATTGTTGGTTGCTCGCTTTTTGGGGCTTGGGACGGACGGACGGACGAGCTGCAGCAGGACGAAAGGATTGCATTGCACTGCATTGGATTGCAACAAGACTGCAGCCTTGCTTTTTCAGCTTTTTTTCCTGTTGGCCCTGCCTCGGCATTGCAGTGCCCCGAGTTGCCTGGAGGGCGTGTTACTGCATCAATTTATGGTTGAATTTTGGTGTCCACTCCTTCTTGGCCTCTTGATTCCCCGGTTGTCTGGGTGCCGGGGTGCCAGGGTGCCTGGGTGTTTTGGTATCTGGGCGTCCGGCTGTTCGGGTGTCCGGGTGCGTGCGACTGGTTTGTTTGGGGTAAGTGTTCTGGGCATGCCGGAAATAAGTTTGCTGCCCGCAAATTTAGTTGATTTAGGCATTAAAGCGAACACACAGACACCCGAAGTCGAGAATCCCGAATCCTGGGGCTTCTGTGGTGCCCATTCTGAGCACTTATAAACAATGTATGACTTAATTTGTTCTCAGTTAGCAAATGTTGTTAATTTCGGGTCTTGTTCCCTGCAAACTCTGTGGCACCGAATGGTAAAGATAAATTGATTGCTGAGGTGGGGAAATTAAAACGGGGATTTATTGGGTAATCAAGTAGAGTTCACAAGGCCCATTGCTAACAGACAGGTATTTGCAGTCAGAGGTTTGGCTTAAAACATAATTTACTCTCATTTTTGATTATCATGCGTTTCGAAACTTAGTCTCTATGATTTCTGCATACTGGGACATGTCGTAACTATGGATATAGAATAATAAGGATGGAACTAGCTAATCACTGTAGCTGCTGTCCAAAAGCAACTGTATGCCATTGACTTTCTTTAAGCCCTAATACTAAGTTCCGCTTCTTTTTGGGACTTAATATGCGAAATTTTCAAATGCCGTACTAGCACACACACATGCTTCACATTGTTGTTGCTGCTGGCCAAAAAATACCACAGACGGGGAAGCACAAACCCAAAGTCCAATTAAAATTTAACTACATCAAAGTAGCAGCCCCAGTAGCCCATCCACACAGGCCAGATACATGTATATATACATACATATAGCTATAACATTTAACAAGTTTAGTATTTGGGTTTGCATTTTTTGCCGCCCTGCCCACCGCCCTACCCACACCGCTGACATTTTTCCCTGGGAGACCAACAGATGGACGCGGCAAACTATGGGTGCAAAAAATCGAATGGGGTTAGGGGGTGTACTAGAACAAAAAATGGTCAACGCCACCCACTCACGCACACAAAATGGGGTTGTTGGTGGATGGACAAGTCCATGGGTATCCATGGCATGTCGAAAATTGCGCAGCTTTACGGCAAATGCCGCAAATTGAAACAATTTACATGTCCTACATGTGTTGGCGGGGGACGGGGGGTGTGGGTGGTGTGCAACGTGAACGCGAGCCATCAAAGGGTTAAACTTGCGTGTAACCCTGGGCTCCTCGCTCGTCTATTGATACCCGGTTTTAGCAGTAACCATGAATTTTGATTTAGCCCCTCCGACCGGCGAGTCTGCTGTCGAAATGGCGAGCAAAAAAAATGTATCTCTCCAACAACAACGAGGTGACAAACCGCGCGTGTCCATGTCCTGCGAGTCCTGTGAGTCCTGCCAGTGCTGCAAACCTTTCGGTGACGGTGAGCGCGGATTATGGCGCGTTTGTCGAGCACTTGTCGCTGATTTTTTCACTCCTCTGGCCGCCAATATTTTGCACTTGAGCTGCCAATACCCTGCAATAAATTCCATTTAATTGATATATCCCAACGAATTTGCCGTAAAAATAATAAAAAGAATAAATACACACTAATTACAAACTATTAAAAGAGAATGTATTTTTTGTTTTGGCTAAAACTAGGATACATTATTGTGTGCAAGTTGTAAGCCAACACGTTTGACTTTCAACCGAAACAAGCGCCTCTCTCCGCGCTTCTCAAAGTGGCCAGCTAAAGGGCATCGATTAACCCGCCACAGCTGGATCCTCAACTTAATTTGAGAGTCCGGTCTGGCCCAGTTGTAACCCCCTCTTGCCGCTTATCTCACTTACTTCCTCCAGCTTTTTTTTGGCCATCGTTTTTATCTCGAGCTCGGTAATAACCTTTATAAAGTAAATTTACAATAAAAGGCAGGCCAACGAAATGAAAGGCAAATGACGTTGGAACTGAAACAGGCACCATTAAACCACGCCCCTAGATTCCCCGCCCCCCTCTGCCATGCATTTTCCACGCTTTTCCCCACCCATATCCCAGTGTGTGCTGTCTGGACTCGCGGCGACACGTTTGGCTTCCGTTGGACTTTCCCGCGATTTCCTCTTTGGCGTCGCGCCGCCTTGTTGTTGCCGCTGCTTGTTAACCCCCAGCCTCATTTCCCCATTTCCCAATTTCACCATTTCACCAGATTTTCCACCGTTTCCCTTTGTGTGACAGTCGACTGTTATTTTGTGTACGTTATTTTTTCGTGCCTTTTCTTCAGTTCAGTGTTAATTTTTTCTTTTGTTCGTTGGCCAAAAGTCAACCCATGAGCTGTGGCATTTTTAAGTAATTTTTATCGGTCAGCAATGTGGGGGGAACTGTGGGTAAGAGGAGTGGAGGTCTGTCGCAATGGGGTCGAATTTTGTGCACACTGGAAGCAGTATATCTAGTCGATCTATTCTTACGATATTTTTAGATGAAATAGAATTTCGTTTTCAGAATTGTATAGCTATTTAATGGTGCATTGTATAACCAGACTATACCATTGAATTCAGAATAAATGTGTTTATGCTTAAACATTTTTTTAAAAAGAATTCCCTACGTAATTATTATCTTAAAAAGAAATCAAGTATAATTTCACAAAACTCATCGACTCTACTGAGTTGTGTCTAAATGTGCGTACCTTTAGCGATTCCATCTGCAACTGCATGCAGCTGTGATCCTTGTGATTTTTGGGTGCTGCACAAATGTCGACAAGTGACAAAATATGCAAGTATCAAACCACAAATTCTCACCCGTGAGTCCACAATCATTTTGACACTGGTTACGGTGACGTGTGCAGGTCCTTCGTCCATCGCCCATCGCCCAACGTCCTGCCGCCTTCGTCCTGGGTCCCTCGCAAATGGCACACAGCAGTGACTAGATTTGGATAGTGTTGCACGGCCGTCGAGAGTGGTGGTGATGAAGTCCTTTGCCGGAAATTGAAAAGTGCAATGCAAATTGCGTTCCGCGGGGATGTGAATCTGCATCCTATCCCCATTCTCATCCCAATTCCCATAGCCACCGCCACTCCCGTCGCCAATCCGACTCCTGCCAGCCGTCTGAAGTCCTTCCCCCGTCGAGTGGTTGACAATTGATTTGTGTTTATGGTGGCCATGCCCATGGACATGCCTGCATCCTGCCATCCAGCACTCCTGCAGCTCCCATCACTTCCTTTGGGGGCCCATGTAATATGCCATTTTGGGGTCGTGATTTAAAGACATTAACAGGCCCTGGCCAAAAATGGGAAACTTTATGGTGTCGCAGGCGCAAGTTTTCCCTCAGCTGGAGGAAATTGATGACCTAATCGGATGCGGAAACCCAACTCTGGGTGATTCGGTTCGTAAATAAATGCTAGTCAAACAAGAAGTGCAAATAGGGTTTGACCTTAAGTCACTTAAGTGTGCCATTTTGGTATATTAATAAAATCATTGTTGCTATCCTGGTATTAATTATAATGAATGGATAAATATTTATAATTAATATTATAAAAATTATTATTATAAAATATATTATAAATATTAAATTAGATATTATAGACAAGTTCACTTGAGCTAGTTTTGGGTAACCCATATGGCATATATGATTTCCCATTTCAACTTTGATTTAAGAAGTTAGTATCAAGACAATTATTATGTATGCAATATGTATTACTTATTAAATGTTATATGTGAATTCTTCTTGCAGGACATTGTGTTCACCCGCGGGTAAATCCTGGATTTTGATTGTTTTCCGAGGCAAGTGCGATTAAAGGACGACAAAATTGTGCGGTTAAAAAAAGTGCAGGCTCACGCTCAAGGGCAACTGGAGCAGTTCGAGCAGCAACAGCAGCAGCAGCAGCAGCAGCAGCAGCAACAACATCTGCAGCAGCAACAGTTGCAACAGCAGCAGCAACACTATCACCACTACAGCGGCAATAGCAACAACTACAAAATGCATTTGACTACCACGTCGAGCAACTCAACGGCATCCAATGCCAATAACAACAACAATAATACGGCAAACAACAACAACAACACAAGCAGCAACAACAACACGACAAACACGAACGGCAGCAGCAACAACAACACAAGCGGCGGCGGCAACAACAACAACAACAACAACAGCAGCGGCAACAACAGCAACACGGAGCAGAACACACCGCCCACGCCCGCCCAACTCCTGAATGAGGCCTATACGAAGATGACCTCTGACATCCTGGCGGAGCGGACGCTGGGCGACTTCCTCACCGAGCATCCGGGCGAGCTGATCCGCACGAGCAGTCCGCTCTTCGTCTGCACGGTGCTGCCGCCCCACTGGCGGAGCAACAAGACGCTGCCGGTGGCCTTCAAGGTCGTCTCGCTGGGCGACATCATGGACGGCACGATGGTCACCGTGCGGGCGGGCAACGATGAGAACTACTGTGCGGAGCTGCGCAACTGCACGGCGGTGATGAAGAACCAGGTGGCCAAGTTCAATGACCTCAGGTTCGTCGGGCGGAGCGGCAGAGGTGAGTCCACAAGTCAGCTTCCCATTTTTCGAGCCCAACGAATTTTCCAAAAGGAATGGTAGCCTTCGAGGATTTTCATTTTCCGCACTTTTTTGGCTGCAGACGCGAATTCTTGAGCTCTTTCAATATTCTGGGTTCAATTTTTGTTCTGATAAGAAAGCATACATGACTTTTAAGCAAACACGTCAATTAGAATTGCTAAGTAGAGTGTAGAAATATTATTTTAGCGGAATCTTGTCTAGTGTTTCCCACGATCAAGTCGATTTGCCGGGTTCAGCCAGGACATCTTCAGTTGATCTCAGTCCTTCAAAGTTGGCCTCTTATTGGCCCTTGAAAAGCCCCATCAACCCTCCACTTTTGCCCCGCCGACTGCACTCGAAACAATTTGTTCAATTATCGCCCAAAAGTTTTGCCAGCTCCCCTGCTCCTCCTGCGCCTTTTTGGCCTTTTGTGTTATTCGGGGCTGTCATCCTTTTTCAGTTCATTTTTTTGGCGCCCATTCGTATCCTTTTGTATCCTTTCAACCGCTTGTTAAGCGCTGCACAAATTGTCAGCAGTTCATCAGCCAGTAACCATCGCCGTCGTCATCGTTTTCATTCACCGAATAGAAGCGGATGACTCGGCGGGTCGTTCTATTTTTTGTAGTCAGCATTTGTGTGGGCATTGTCTTAAAGTGTTTAATAAACTGTCGGCACGGAAGTGAAGTCAACTGGGGATGGCCTTTAGTTGGTAATGCTGAGTGCTGGCCTTAATTTTGGCCGGGGTCCAGTGAACTTGGAGGCGTTTAAAAGGCAATTATAGTGCAGTCATTATTATAATAAGAAAGTGTTAAATTTGCATTAATTGTGGGAACTTTTAAAGGCACAATACTGTCAGTTTTTCGGTACAATTAACGTGCTTGCAAGCCAAGTTATTAAAAGCATTTGCGGCGCCCATACGACGCGATAGAAATTCAGAGCCTGCCCATCAAGCACACAAGCCATAATTCAATCAGCAAGGACTGGCCAAAAGAGATTTTCATCGGGGGTGCACGCTTTTCCAACAGTGGAAGGGCTAAGCCCGACTCCGCTGGTCGTTTTGGCCTGGTCCAGAAAGGGGGGTGTGGCAGTTACGCATCCGCTGCGGTGGAACCGCAAAAACCAAAGCCTCCACCAGCGAAAAAGGGGGGACAGAAGCGGTTTTTGTGGGCGGGTGTGTGGGCGTGGGTGTGGCTGTGGGTGTGGTGGCTCCTTGGGGGCGGCGGTCGTGGAGAATTGGGATGCATGTGTGACTCAGTCATTGTCATCATTCGCCCAGTGCCAAATGCCAAATGGATGCGGACTCCCTTCCGGAATCCGATCCATCTTTCGCTTTTCACTTTAAAATTTTCCGCTGCACCCTCACCCGCCTCCACTGTTCCGCATTGAGCCGCCTTAATTGGGAATTTCCCATTCATTTGGGCCGACTCCGCAATGCAAAGTGAGTGTCATAAATGCAGTGCCCGCCCCCCGTTTCTGGAACTACAGACAAGCTGGCTATTTTAATAATTGGCTTATAGCTTAAGCTTAATAAACCTGTGCTCGATGGAGCATTGTTTTTAATACTTTATCCAAGTGTACACATATTAAGTCATTCGAAAAGGTATGTGCCAGCCCTCAAGCTTGTTAAGCTCCGCTTAAGAAGGCTTGTTTGTGGCGCCTAAAGTCCTTGTGGTCCGTCATGTTTCATTTCACCCATCAAATGCCTGCCCACAGTCAAGTTATGATAACCGAGCATTTTTACAATTGTCTGCCTGTTGCTTTGGCCCAAAAGATGCCACGCCTCTGGGAAAATGCCCACTCCAAGATCGAACAATTACCAACTTTGGAGCCAAAAACAAAGCCCCGCCTTTGGGGGCTAGGGAAACGGGGGAGGGTCGGAAAAATTGAAAGGTACCGAAGGCAGGCCAAAAGCAAATTGTGCACAATTTGGCACGAGTTCGTGGCCCGGATGGTTTCCTTGATTTCCCTCCTTGTTCACAGGCAGGCGTGTCCTTTTCACAGGACGAGGTGTCAGTTGCTGGCAAAAAGTTGCCTTTTTCCTTGCCTTTTTAACGCCTCGACTTTTGCTAGGCATTTATCTTTGAGGGGGTGTGTACGTCCTTTTTTATTTTTGCCCCAGGCGTTGTCATCTCTTCTTTCGGCAAGATTTGGGGAATGTTTATCTTTTTCGGCGGTGGAAACAGGGGCTTGGGATTTCTGGCGTTCTTGGCTCAGACTCAGTTTATTCTGCGGCTGTTTTCGGTCGTATTAAATGGCTCGAGAGTTGTGTAAATAAAAACCTCAAAGGGGATGGTCCTCGATTAGGGGTAAGCTTTTTTCCTGGCCAAGGACTAAGAACTAAGGACTGAGGACTGAGGAGTAAGGTGTTGGGATTGGGATTGGGGGCATGGTGTCGTAACTGGCGGAAACTGGCACCGACTTTAACCCCTTAAAGCCCCAGCACCGCAGCACCCCGTCCCCTTCCAATCAACAGCGTCGTCATCGTCATCGTCGTCGTTGTCGTCATCATCATGCGTGCATGTGCATGGCACTTTGCTAATTAAAAGTGTAGCCTAGCGTTGGGCCAAATAAATCGATGGCCGGGTAATTAAATTGCATGACAGGGTGGGGAGGGAGGTGGGGTCTCCACCCATGTATACGCCATGCATTTGTTATTGTAATTAGACGGGAGCTGCAGCAGCGATGGCAGCGAAACAAAATGGCGGCAGCGGCAGCGGCCACGGTTGCGGATGATATGTAAATCACTCATACGCCCCATGGGTGCGGTCCGATTTAATGCAACTTAGAAGCGATAAAAAACAGCCAAATGCAATTAAATGCAATTTTAAGCTTGTCCAGAATCCATATACTTCAAAAGAAATAACAATTCCAATTTCAATGGGAACGGGATTATGCAGAAAGGCTTTGAAGTCAAGCTCATAGCTAAATGGGAAACTAGAACACATTTAGTCCTACGGCAAATTTAAGCCATCGAAGTGCTTGCTTCAGATTTTACCCAAAGCAGTGCAAACTATTTCTAAAACATATTTAAAAAGCCTATCACTGAATCTTCCACCCGCCCTTTCAAAAATGCCACACCTGCCACCAATCATTCGAGCATATATCCACTCTCAGGTAAACACAAACAAGAAATCAACAAGCAATCAAAATAAGCAAACATAAAAAGACGAAAACCAAAGAAGCCGCAAAATGTTTTTATTTTGGTGTTGGAGCGACTTACTGTCTGGCTTTCGAAGCTTTCAGTGGCTTAGTCTTTTTTTGGCCAACAAGTGAAGTGGAGCAATGACTTATGGGGCAGCCACTCAGAAATAAGGGTTGCCTCTCTGAATCGCAGATAAAACGGCTTACCATTTTTGAAAACGCTTCTCCTGTGCCGCCAGTTCGAAGGTGAATATCACGAAACAAGAACAAGTTATTTTAGGGGTAAGCAAATAGCTTAATACTCCCTTGCAGAATCAAAAGTAGTGAAAAATCAAACAAGATATTATTGTAGTTCCTTGCTTTTTTCCAAGGGCAAGTTCCCTATCCTAAAGTTCTAGTTCCCTATCTTTTGTATCAACACACGGGTATATGTTTAAGTATTCATCTATTGACAAACGTCTTCGTGTGCGTGTGTATCTGTGTCTTGGGCGACATTTGTGTGCGTGTGTGCGTGCGTGTGTGTGTGCTTTCATTACCCCCAAATTGATTTATGACGCCTGTGCAACGGTAAATTGCCGGGGATTTGCCAGCTAGGATTTCAGGTTATTTGTCAACAGGATTTGATTTTAAATGCCGCCACACCCGCACGGAAATGTTTTGCTCCTCAAGTGTTGACATTTCCATTTGTCGCACTTTCGGTGGAGATTAAGATGAATGCTTTTCGGGTGGGGTGGGAATTATTGTGGGATTATCAATCAATTGGGTCAGAGCCGCCACTCCGATTATAATTGAATCCCCCGAGAAAAGGGTGAATTTTCACTTAAACTTCTGTGCATATCATAGCGTTCTTGGTTCTGCTTACCGGCTTCAAACATTTCCTACAACATGTGCAATTACTTAAAGATTTATTTCAGCTGGGAAAATGGATTAACGGCAGCTCTTACCCTCTGCCAAGTGTCATTTCCCATTGGAAAAAATCGCCTCATTCCACTTTTTTTTTTTGTTTCTGTAAATTACTCGCGGTAATGATCGATTATCCATTGCCAAGCTCGCAACTTTTGCACCACTACCCACTTTTCGGCCGGGAAAACCCCACGAAAAGTGTCAAAGAATTGCGCAACAATGAACTGCACTTGCTGGCAAATGAACACAAAAGTGTTTTCCCATCTTGGGGCTGCCACTTGAGACTTGCTTTTTTACGAAAGCGGCGGGGTAGATATTGTCCTGGTTCAGTGGAGTGTGCCCAGGACATGTGTAAGCCTCGCCGTCTGCCGATACAGATACAGATACAGATACATATACATCTGTGGGGTTTGGGGACGTCGGCGGTTTATTTGTATGTGCCGAAATGATTTACGCTTTGTTTGTCAACTTAAAAAGCAAACCTCCAGCCCCCAGATCGCGCATACGACGCGTTGTCATAGACAAGGCGGGAAAACCCAGGAAGGCGGCGGCTCAAGGAGCCTGAAATGCTTTTAATTGAATCCTGGGAGACAAAAATGGCAGGAGCTGCGGACAAAGAGGCCTTGGCAACACTTGACAATGACTGGCTGAAACAAGTTAATTAAAAGAAAACTGCGGCGCAAACGAAATAAATCTTGGGGAGCAAAACGCATATGTGCTGGGTTTTTTAGGAAGGTCTACGACTAAATCAGTTTAAATTGTAATTAATTCAGCATTTCGAAGGTGAAAAGGGGCCTGAATTGAATTTACATAAGGGAGTGCAGGCGAGAAGTAGCATGTGTTTGAGAAGATTCTTAAAGACTAAGAATTTCATTTAAGCAAAATAAAATAATACTGAAAAGGTAAGCGAAAAGGAAATATTTACCCCGACTAAGACTTAAAACAACCATTTGAAAATGATCGTTTATAGTTCATAGTTTTTGCCATACATAATACATAAATACATAAATTTGTTTTGGCAACTGTCATCATAAACCGAACTAGTAAAAATAGCCCCGAAAAAAGGGAAACCTCCATTATTGTTTTATGGCCAACACATTTACGATGTGACAATACCCCCAAAAACAACAGAAACACCCAAATGAAGCCCCAAAAACATATTTATCGATTTGCATGTCTGACAGGCATTAGCAGGCGAAATCTCATAAATTTGTTTGTTTCGCTTTCCCTTGTTTTTCCAGGGAAAAGCTTCACGCTAACCATCACCGTGTCAACGAATCCACCGCACATAGCCACCTACAACAAGGCGATCAAAGTGACTGTCGATGGGCCACGCGAACCCCGTTCCAAGACAAGTAAGTATGTCCTGCCAGAAAGGACGAGCTGGGAACCCTTCACGCCCTCTTCCAAGACCCATTCGGGCCCGGCTATTTCATTTGCAGGACAATGCATAGCAATTTATTAGTTGCCAAATAGATAAATTGTTCTGCAGCAGCAGGCAATTCTCAGGATGCAGACGAGATGGAGGTTTTGCAGTTTTGGAAGGAGTTTCAGTGCTGTCAGTGATGGGAGGCTATCTGCAATTGTAGAACGTAGCTAGAAAATAGAACTATTCATTTAATAAATCCTCATAGATCCTTTGGCTAATTAAAAGATGTATCCTTTTTGGTAGACATTAATTCACAGCCCGTTTAGATTTCCGCATACAAGACATTTGAGCTTCAGGTTTGCATTAAAATAGCTGGCTGAAAAGCTGGCTGAATAGCTCATCGCTGAAAGGAAAGTTGGAGGGCACTTCTGAGATATTACCACCTCACACTGCAGGACATTCGAGCGCTTGAAGTCCTCACTCGGGCTTTTGCTGATGCAGCAAGGACACTTCCTTGCTAACACTTCACTTCATTTCACTTCACTTCAGAATGCCGAATATCTTGAAGGAATATTCATTAGACAGCTCTATCACACACTCTGCCTGCCCGTTACATATTTATAAGGATGCAAATACATTACTTTGCATATGTTCCAGCACTCAGACGGATGGGAGAGAGTGGAGGGCAGAAGTTTAGCTGGTCTGTGTAATCTGGTTTCGGTCCGAATTCAAATCCATGAAATGATTTATACGAGTGTGCCCCGAATGCCAGACAGACCCCCGAAAAACAAAGGGGGAGCTGGGTGCGTGGATAGTGCGCACACAGGACTCTAAGCTGCAGACAAAAGGTTATTATTTTATAATGAATACAAGCTGGCAGATAACTGCAGCCGCCGCAGGATTTTAGTGCGGACCAAAAATTTAGCCGAAAGTGACGCCGGTTGGCAGAAAGTTTTTTGGGCCATTGTCATATTACTTTCGCAAGCACATACACATAAAATCCATTCTCGATAGTGCTCTTTGGGTCTTGGAAAACCGGGCAGCTCGACCCCACATCTTAAGTGATCCGAAAGCAACAAAATGTCACTCATCAAGTGTTTGTCATTTAAGTTTTCACTCAGACAGAGCAAAACGAATACAGTCATTTATACAATTACACACACATGGTACAGTGAGCGCTTGCAAATTGACTCGCTTGAAAATGCGAAATGTATATGAATTGCAGAGACATTCTATCTCTAATGCCATTTCCCCTAATGCTGAAGTGGTTAATTGCCAGAATTGAACAAAACATTCAACCTGTAGTCCTAATGGCCCGAATAAGCTGTCGTTGAGCCAGCAATTTGCAATCGACCACTGTTCCAGTGCAATGAAACCATTTAGTTAAGGACAGAAAATTATAACTGAAAAAAACTTAGTGTTATCCCTTTTAGGACAGCAGCAGCAGTTCCACTTCGCCTTTGGCCAACGACCGTTCCACTTCTCCACGGATCCACTTTCCGGCTTCCGGATGCCGCCCATTGGCAATTGTCAGAGTGAGTAGCCCCGTCCAATGGGAATCTATATTTACAATCTATTTTAATCTTAATTTAAGTTTGGTACACATTTTTGTGCTTTGCCACTAATAATAGCGAAGTAAATGCTCGCAAAGTAACATAATGGCGCCAAATCACGCAAAAACGATCATGGTTTTGTAGTTAATGAAGTTAATGTTGCATAAGGCAGTTAATCCCCTCACTAGCATGTAGCCATCCCATACTTATACAAAATATGCCGCAAGCCATTGCCAAATATTATTTGTGCATTTTAAGTCCGCAGGGCGAGCGATGAAACATGAATTTATGCAGCTGCTACTACATTGCTGTCATTTATTTAGTTACTTACTATTTGGCTGGCATTTGCTTAGGTACTGACTATATGGCTGGCATTTATTTAGGCACTTAATGTACAAACATACATTGTACGAGTGGCCGGTTAATGAGTACAAAAAACTTGAAACGCTTTTTTCGCTTACTGGACCGCCATTTGAATGCGGTGAAGTTGCGGGTCACCGTGCCATATCGACTTTTTCTGGGCTAAATGGGCTCGTTGTTGTTGTTGCTGTTAAACTGTTGGCCACTTTATTTAACCAAAGTTTACTATACAAACAAATAAACGTTGGTCAGACACAAGCACACACACACACACACACACATTCAATTGTGGAGGGGGAAGGATAAAGTCAATGCCTAAAAAAGCGCTGTTAAATCAGAGCTTTGCATGCAAATTATGATTTAAATGTAAAAGTACGCAGTCAAAAAAATTGAATGCACTTAACCAGGTGAATGTAAACCAATTTTGACAGCTCAGGCACTAAGTCGAAAAGGGGAGGGCTTCTAAATGGGTCGACGGTGTCGATACCCACTAAATTAACATGTATTCAATTTAGTGACTTTATTTAGATACTAGGATATCGGTGCTGCTCCTGTTTTCAAAACCAAACCAACTGGGTAAACTGTTTATTTTCAACACCCCGGCTTCATCTCTAGCTAAAATGATAGAATATTTATAACAAAATCAATAATTAATGTTGTGGGAGACTATTTTTCTTGCTGTTTTTGCACATGTGCTCGCGTAGGTGAAACAAATTTAATTGTACATTTTAAAATGCATTTATATTAAGTTTGATGTTTCAATTTAAATTGACAATTAATTGCATTACAACAACAGCAGCAACAAAAGCCGGACTAGACATTGCCCCCTTCCCCCCTCCCAAAAACTAGCAGCCCGGGGCTAAAAAACAACAAAAAATGGCGACAGCTACAAATGTGATTTTCTCTTTAGAGCTTGATGCTATTAAAAAAGCAGCAAATAATTAAATTAACATATTAACGATGTTAAAGTAGAAAAACGCAAAGACAAAGAGAGTTATGAAAGAGGCATAAAAACGCTAGTATGCGATATTAACCAATATATGCGATGCATAATGCCAAATACCCACTGTTGCGGAACACAATTATGAAAGAACTTTGCTCAAGTGCATAAAAAAATATTTTAAATTCCGAACTCATTTTCTTTGGGCTTTCAGCACCAATTAATTATGTCTGCGCGTGCATTTTCCGCACTGAAGTATATTTATATGCATTATTTTTGCGCATTTTAATTTCGCATAAATTAAAATAAATACCTTGGCATGTTTTAATACGATAAATGCAACAAACGACTTGAAACTCTGACTTCTTTTCGCCATTCGTAAGCAAATGAAACCACTTGCAAATATTCCTTACATTGCTTATTGCATTTAGACGGGAATCGAGTACTGCCAAGTATTTTCTCAATTGATTATTTTTGGAGCACTTGCCACTCGTCTTTCATTACCGCTCCTGACCAAATCGATTCCGGTGAACTCAAAACGCACCGTGTAAATAAAAAGCGGCCGTAATTATAAAATGCAACTCAATCAATGCAAATTGCCCGCCAATTTGAACGTCTCCTTCGCCTGTCAACCCGCGAAAACGCCCATTTTGTATCAATATTTTACTGTCTAGCCCAGTGCACAAATCAAAATGCAAATTGCGCGATTTACAGGATTCTGAAAAGGCAATCCACATTATGTAGCACACATAAATATGTTATGTATGTATGTGGGTAGCGGCACACAAGTAAATAATGTTTACTGAAAGCGTCTGTTGATACTGATTACCCATAAATTAATTGTAAATATGCAGAAAGCAAAGTATCCTGAATTATTTATTAACAATTTTTATTGACAGTCGCTGCTTGACTTAATTACTGGCATATATTTTATTAATTTCGCAACAAAAAAAGAAGAAAACCATGAAAAACAACCGGAAAAGCAGAAGCAGGGATCCGTGTACATTCTGCAAGGGAATTGAAGGTCCATCGAGGCCTAAAGGAAACCCAAAAATATGGCCAGTCCATCTTTTTATATTCGTTTTTATGGGGGGATTCTGCCAATTACTGCTGCAATAGTGCTAGGTGACTGGAAAACTTGAGCTGAACCTCTGGCTGTGCCACACTGCGATAAATTTGTTTAGATTGAAGCAAGTAAAATGTTTGCCCCGCCATTACGAGGAAACCCGAAAAAAGATCCGCTGTACGGGCCTTGTTAATAATTCAGGGCCCCCAAAATATGCGCAAATAAAGTCAATCAGTGTGACAACAAACAGGCAGGACTAACCGCTCTCGCACACAGACGCAAAAGCACGCACACTGGCGCGAATAATGACAGACACCGTGTAGAGTAGCCCACATCCCACAGAGAAAATTGTACACAAAAAGCCACGTAATTAATGGAGGTAGAAACATTTAAGCCAATAGCATTAATAAAGCCACCACAAAATCAATATCCGGCTACGAAAACGCGCCCGTCGCCTATAAAAACTAATTAATAATTTCCGAATGGGCTATTAATTAAGCCTAATTATCTGTGCATGGGTCCCGGCGACCCGCAAAATGTTGACTCTTCTTTTCCGCCCCTCCCCGGCTTCTGTTTTAACCCCCGACAGCCCCCGGCCGCCCCCGACAGCAAATGGCCAAATAGCCAAATGGCCAAATGGCCGAAACAAAGTGAGCTGAATTTTCGGCAGGACCTGGTCCGTTCCATTGATTTGTTTGTCGTGTATCCTGCTCATTTTTTACATCCTGTCTCCGCAAAATGGCGGCAAGGTCCCGCATTATGCGCGGATATCGACGGAGGAGGCGGTGGCCCCCAATTAGCGGCCCACATGGGCCATTAAATCGACAGGGCAGGACCTTCGACCTTCGCAGGCTACAGCTAATCCCCAATTATTTTGTATTGTGGAATGCGATTATTCTGTGCCTTTTGCAACCCACTTCACAAGCGTTACCTATCTTTTACAAGGTAGTTACTACTCATTGCCAATATTTTATCTATTCGTTATCTATTATCTTTGTCAAGGAACCCGAACAAGTGCTCTCTAAAATACCCGTAATTTGTGTGTAATTTCAGGCGCTAGCAACACGCACTGGGGCTACGGATCAGCTGCCTCTGCATATTCGCCCTATTTGGCCAGTAGCGGCTTGTCGTCCTGCACCACGCCCACTTCCGCCCAGTTCAACAATCCGGCCCTGGGCTTCACCTGCTCCTCCAACGATCAGAGCAACAACCAGGACTTCGGAGGAGCCACCAATCGCGACTGCGTGCCGAGTAAGTCGTCGCCATTCGAATTCTTTGAAACGAGCCATAAGAAAGCAGGTCCACAGATAATAATATTTAATTTGTAATATGCACTTCCTTTTCTTGCAGTGCTGCCCGACTCGACGGCCAGCGATCTCGACCAGCACTTGAGCAGCCTGGTGGGCTCCACCAGTGGCCAGATGACGCACCACAGCCTGCTGGGCGCCGGCGGCCAGACCTCGATATCCTCGACGGTGAACGGGGCGAGCGGAGGCGGCAGTGCCGGAGCCGGAACCGCCGGCGGCGGAGCGGGCAGCGGCGGTGGTGCAGGCGGTGGGGCGGGCGGCAACTCCATCCTGGTGCCGCGCTATCACACAAACGCGAGCAACGAGTACAACGTGCACTCCAGCCAGAATGGACCGCGGAGCCTGTCGGACAGCTCGCAGGCGGAGTCGCCGGTGCAGGAGGACCTGCTGACCACCAACACACCGAATCTGGGCAGCACGGCGGGCGGTGGGGCGGCCAACGGTGGTGCGGGCACGAATGCGGGCAGTGGTGCGGCGGGCAGTGGTGCCGGTGGTGCTGGTGGCGCCGCCTCGGCGGTGGGCAATCCCTCGATGCTGGGCGCTAACCAGAACTTCCCGGGCATTGTCAATCAGGCGCAGCACTCGGCGGCCTCGGCCTACGGCGGCGGAACCGGCGTGGTGGGCGGTGGACATGGCAGCGCCGCCGCCGCTGCCGCCGGATGCAATGGCTCCCTGTATCCCGTGCTGCCCGCCAGTCTGCTGTACTCCCAGCTGTACACCGCTGCCAACCAGTCCGCCCACGGCTTCCACTCGCACACCTTGCCCGCCCACGCCTCGCCGAACTCCTCCGTGCACGGCGAGCTCCAGAGCGTCATGGATCACATCAGCAATGTGGGCGTGCGGCAGCAGCACAACATCATGGCCGGCGGGGGCGTGACCCATCCGGGCGACCTCACCCTGATCGGCAACTGTGGCGCCTCGGTGAGGAACATCGAGGACGGGAACAGCAATCGGCAGGTGGCCGCCTTAGCTGCCCATCGCGGCCACCACAATCCCACCGACAATGGGGGCAGCGTTTGGAGGCCCTATTGAGGTCAGGTTCTGTGGTGCGGCTCGGCGGTTCTATAGTGCGAGGGGGGCGGGTCGCAGCACGAGGCGGGGGTGGGACTTAGCATGGGTATGGGCATGGGCATGGGCATGGGCGGGGGCATGAACTGCTTTGGGGGCTTCTAATCTGTACATAGTTGTGGGTCAAGGGCGGGTCCAGCTTTCGAGGGGAAAACCATTTGAAAATTTCGATATTACCTATTGTGGAAATCGATTTTATTGATAAGTCGGTATCTTTTATTGCCTTCGATTATTTCAATGAGTATTGCGGTATTACTAATGTACCAATGTTATCGCCATTATCGATTTGATATCGAAAATTCAACGATTTAATATGTCAAAACGGTTAGAGTATTCCCTTAATTAAAAGCACTTGGTTATCGACAACTGGAGCCGCCATACACATATAAACTTTTATAAAATATATCTTGTACATAGATGGGGGGGAATAAGCACGTTATCGGAGATTTAAAGAGGGTTGGATGTCCAACCCGATGAAAGTATTTACCTGTATATAGTGTTAGCGGACGTAAAATATTTCATATCCCACTAATAGGCATCTAAACATTGTTTTTAAAACTATAGAAGTTGTGTGTGTGTGTGTGTTTTTTTTTATAACATTATGGCCATAAAGTGAAACCAAAATGATCAACATTTAGTAGAATTTTTCGGAGTGCTTCAAAGCCCTCCACATAGCGCATAGTTAAATAAAAAGTCAAAACTATAAACTAGAGCTTAAGACAGAAATACTTAGCAAATTTTAAGGGAGAAAAATATGCCCTTTTCCAACAGATTTCACTGGATTTGTAGAACATAAAATGCGCCAGAAAAATAAAATGTATTTCAAACAGCAGTGGGTCTGTAAGGAGTTACTTTTTCTTTTGTATTTTGTATTTCGAATTATGTATTTTTTCTAGGCCCGTGGTAAGCCCGAGCCATTAAACTAGTCATGTTAGCGATAAGTCATTACCGAGATACAATACCGGAATCAAGAAAGCGAATACCAAAAATCGAAGAAAATACATAGAAACTTTAAACTAGTCGTAAGCACTGTGAAGCCAAAGTAGAGTTGATTTTTAGTGATTTGTACTGTTTGTTTTTTTTCGGTGTAAGATATGAGTGTTGGGATTGGAAAGGAGTTTAATTCTGGGGGAGGGGACTTGCTTGATGGGGGGAGGGGGGTTGTAGAGCCGATGTATGTCTGAGTTCCTAAGCCGTAATCCATGTTCGTGAATTTGTTTACTGTTCATTTCATGTGCTTCGATCTGCGTGTCCTTTAAATGTGTATAAATATGTGCAATCTAAGCTAACCGAAAACAAATATATATAACTATAAATATGCATATAACGAGATAACTGTGTACTAAATGGTAGACCGCACACCCGCAACCGCAATCTATGACACTTAAAAACTTATAATGTAATTTTTTTTTGTTAGTTCATAAGTGGTGAAAAAAAACCAGAAGCAAATTAAATTCCAAAACAAAGAATCACTGTAATACGCGAATGGTAAGGAGGGTTAAGGAATCGGTTAGAAATGTCCAAAATAGCACATTCTTTTAATATATATACATATATATTTATATATATATATGAATTCACACGCTTACCAACGGAATCGAAGTAAAAGTGTAATTGATGTATACCAGAGAAATGGGAAATCCAAAAAGAGTTACCGAAACTATGTGTATAATTTAGCCAAGATCCCCGCATATTAAATATATAGAAATTAAACCAACAATTTGTGCAATAAAGAATCAACAACAAATGAGAGTTCTTTGTAATAAAATAAATATATGTAACTGAAACATTTTATTTGAGGAACAGAAAACTAAACCAAAAATATCTAAATAAAACTTAAATTCAGCAATTATATGAAATAAAATTATGAAAAATTACAAGTGATGAATGTATTTTATTTGCTTGCGGGAGGAATTGTCAATTATTATCAATTTATACCAAATATCCGAAGAAACGTTTAGAAAAAGATCAAATGATAGAGCTTTAAAAATGAAAAACTAAAGGTATATTCAAGAACCATCATTCAAAAAATCCAATTAACACGGAATGTTACTCTACAATATTTTATTCACTCATTTTGGACGCCTTTGTGTGAACTTCATAGACAATCCTGGGAGACAGCAGCCTTCTCAAATTATCCTGACCCTTTTGCAGGCAGCCGTTTTACGACTCCGTCGGGGCGAATTGGCCGTATCGAAAACTTATGACCTGGTCGGGATATAACCACTGGCCACCTCGCCGCCTCTTTCTAATGCCATTCCGTGTGGTTTGGATTTGGCGGGCAACGTAATTTTCTGCTCAATTTATTTCACATTGTGGCATCCAATTAAGCTGCAAACCGAGCAGTCCACCATCCGGAACCGGGCGAAATCAGAGGAGTCCGTCCGGATCTCACCTGCACCCGCATCCACACGTATGTGGCCATGAAAATACAGTCGAGCTGCAAGACTTCGTGACGCGAAGCGTATCAAATCGGACTGGAAGCGGAATAACCACAAAATGGTAGCCAACAGGGGTTAAGAAGGGGCAATGGATTGAGCGGCGGATAAATAAGAGATCGATACACAAGGATACAAGGACATGCAGACAGTGGGGCCAAGTGAGGGCAAGTGCTGGAAAAAACTTTTTAATTATTTCCATGCCGAAGATGTTTCGCATAACAAATTAGCTCGCAGTCAAGTATTCGGGTGGGTGTGTGAGTGTAAATAATTAAAAATTCTACCCATTACTTGCGAGGCTTGGTAAAATTTCAAACGAACGCCAAGACACACAGACGCTTGGACTCACACGATGACACTGAGAGAAATACATGAGTCCGAATTCTTTGTTCAGAGAATAGTGTTCTTCAGAAACATTTTCTGTTTGTACGTTATGTATGTTATGTGCTATAAGGAGGAAAACTAGCTGCTTTAACGGAAAACAGAAAAACGCACTCATTTACTGCTGAAAAACTTTAAGCAATTCAATTTTGCGTCCCTACACTCAAACTTAAGTAACTTAACTAGCTTTTTGTTAGCCTTCAATGAATTAAAATGAAAATTAATCATTCATCCTCCATTAATAATATTAGTTTGATGGCTTGCGAAGTGTTCATTAATTTACTCAGGAATTATAATTCAGTGAACATAAATTAGCTGCATACTTCGCAGTCGCTTGCAATCCTAAGATCTACTTTTTTATTGACACCCAATTCAGCTGCATCATTTTTTCAGTGTAACTAAGCCCTACACAGAGCTAGAGGAAACCACTTGAGACGCTGATTTTGCCTCTCAACGGGCATTCTTTTGCACCACCCAACCATCCACCAAACACCACCCATTCCAATTGGAACGTGTGCCGCCTCGCATATTAACACGTTTCATATGAGCAAATCCCTTGGCGACCATCAGCCAACGGGTTAAGGAGTTAAGGGGTTAATGGCAGTGCTGGGGCCAGTGGGGGGTTAAGGGCCGACTTGAGATGAGCCAAGATGCGTTGAGTGAAAAGCGAGAAGTGGCAAGTGGAGTGGAAGCTGAGTGGAGTCCTCGCACTCGCCCCCATTTGTTGCATCTTGCCGCGTCTTACAAATAAAATTCATTTTTCTTATTAGCCATTTGCCGGCGCTTTCAGTCGGCTCTTAATTAAGGTGATAAACAAGCAAACCGAATTATACGGCTCACAGTGGGACATGGCTTGAGTGGAGATTATTTTGGGATGAGTCGACATGAAAGCCAAAGAGAGGGAGGATCAAGGAGTTGGTTAAACAATCGTAATCAGTGCAGTTCAAACTACTGACGTGCATTGCAGCAGCATTGAAATGATGAATACAATACAGTTGTTACGAAATTTTGAAATGAAACATAGGTGGACATTAGGAGTGTGTCTTGAACTCCAGTCTGCAAAAATAAGGAAAGGCTCTTAAAAGCAGCGCACCAGTGATTGGAGTGAGCTCGACTGGGTGCTAGTCCGTACTCTCGAATCCGCCCTCGCAGCGTTTTGAATGTTCACCTGTGCCGGCTTCTTTTATTGGCTGACTCATAATGGAAATCATCTTCTGCGCCCGCTTCATTTGCTCGACATGTCGGCACTTTCACCGAGAACAACTTTCTGCAACCCTTTCTCCCAGTGCCTTGCCTCAATTATGTATGAGTGTGTGTTTTGCATATGGGTGTATATTTGATTACGATGCCAATTAGGGAATATGGCAGTGATAAGGGCAGGATGTGAAAGGGGGTGCAACCTTTTTTCTTGTAGCTTGAAACCGGAAGGAAGCCGCCTTAATTAGCAGTGCAAGTAAACTTTCTAATTATGAAACTCGTAATATTTTCCAGCAAACCGAAAAAAGTTGAGAAAACTCCCTTTTGCCCGCCGCCGGCTTTCCACTCTGCCGCTGACCATTCAAATAATGCAGTGATTTCTGAGGTCAGCAGAGAATTATGCAGATCTGCCCATGCGGCAGCCCATTCAAACCTAAAACGCCTTTGAAAATCTGTTGCTGCTACTCGTGCAAATATTTAACGGCTGCTACATTTTTGCACCTTTTGGCCCACGGACACACGGGGCGTATGAAAACATTCTTCGTTGCGGTTTTCCCATTGTTGTTTTCCATTTCCATTTCCATTTTTGTTTTTTTTTTTTGTTCTGCACTGCGCTGCCCTTGCTTTTGTATTTTTTTTTTTGTTTTCGCTTCCCCATTTTCCGCTTTTCCGCTGGCGTTGCACATTTTTGGCATTCGCGCTTTGACAGGCAAAAACGCGCCCATCCCCCGATTTTGGCATTATATTTGTTTGCCCCCACTGACTGAATCCGATTCCCCTCCCTTTCCACACATTCCCCCGCCGCTTTTCCCGCCGCTTTTCCCGCCCATCGACTGCTGCATTGGGCTGTTGGTCAGTAAAAAGGTTAAAAAGCGAGGAATGCAGTTCGGCGAAAGGTCAGCAGAGGAGATGACAGGTGAATGGTGCTTAAAGTACTACAGATCAGCT